GCAGTGGTACGGCCTGCGCTGCCGGAACTGTCGGAGCCGTTACCCTGGAAACCGAGTTCTGCCGCTGGTCGCGGCCCGAGTGTTAACCCCGTCGGCACCGCCCGAGAGCGGCTGTCGGCAGAGCCTTCCCCACCCTTCTCGTCGCCGCCCCGCAGCCGCTATGGAGCGGGTCCCTCTCGGGGCCACGCCCCGACCCTGCGCCTTCTCTTTTCTTAGCTGCCGACGTCCGCACAGTCTTGCCCAGAGTTTACCCCGGACAATGGCTGGCCCTACTTTACACCTCCCTTCATTATCCCGGCAGGACACTCCCAGTAGTGCTGCTCAATACTCAGCACCCCGACTTTTCTTCCCTTTTTTTTTTTTTACTGTCCCTAATGCCCCTTAACACCTCTCTGTTATCACACTCTCAGTTCTCCCCAATGGGGTAGTTTACGATTCCTTTCTTTCTAGTCTTTGCCCTAAATTATGGAGAAACTCAGCTGTATTTATTCATACCTTAGCTCCACACCGGCCCTCTCCAGTCCTCATTCTAAGCTTATTTACTACCGCTTCCTTACAGCACGGCGTTTCCAGGCGCCGCTGTGAGAGAGACTCCCTTCTGCTTTACACAGCAAACTTCCCTGCACTTCTGCTCCTGCTGCTGAGCTGTGACTGTCGGAGAGCCACCGATTTCCAGGCACATGCTCGGCTGGCTTTGTACGCAGAAGGCAGCAGCCTTGTTTTATGAGCTTTTCTTTCTCATTGGCCTCTTAAACTGTATATAAACTGTATGGCCCAATTATGCTGATAGTCAATATATTTGTATGTGCTAACACAGATTTACTTCTTTATAAACTAGAGCGACTATTGGGCTTGGTTAAGGTGCTCCAGCAAATGTCTGTTGGTTTATAAACTGTGTTTTGTGGAACCAGGACAATGCTCTATTCTAAAATGTGGCTCCTGGGTCTTAAATGCCCACACAGAGGATAGGATTTCAGAGATTCGTGTTAAGTACCCCCAAACCAAGAATTTTTGAATCAGAAAATGATCCTCTATATTTTTTATGAATTTATGGATTCAAGATACAAGACAACCTGATTTAGTTATCTAAAAGGAAAATGGTTTATTGATTCTTTGAGGACCTGAACAAAATTTTGAATGTGTTCTGTACTCAGCATATAAGATTAATAACTTTTAAAACTATATATATATAATATTCAAGAATTTGTTACTGTGATCACATATTGCTTTTCCTGTTAAGCTTAAGGAATATCCATGGTCACTTGCTTTGTAACACAGAGATCACAATACTTTTTAAAAATATATATATTTTTATTGATTTCAGAGAGGAAGGGGGAGGGAAAGACAGAAACATCAATGATGAAAGAGAATCATTGATCGGCTGCCTCCTGCACGTCCCCCACTGGGGATCGAGCCCGAAACCCGGGCATGTGCCCTTGATCAGAATTGAACCCGGGACCCTTCAGTCTGCAGGCAGACGGGATAGAGACTAAGCCAAACTGGCTAGGGCAGATTGATAACTTTTGACCACTTCTCTTTTGCCCAAGAAACCAGTATTAGACCAAGCACATACAGAATCACTAATAGGCATAGGACATTTTAGACCCCCACCCACCTCTCCCTGAATCAGGAAATGCAGAAGTGAACATTCTCACAAGTTTGCTACCTCACCCACATTACACATGGTGTGAGGCCATAGGGTTTTTTTAAAAATAACTTTTCTGAAATAATAGACTGTAATGTTAGTCATTCAGATTATTCCAGACGTGCTGTGTCATAAGTGTCACAATTCTGGGGTATACCTGGGCAAATACTCTTTTCCTAGAGTGTATCTAGGCTTATTGTCTCAATCACTTCTGCCTAAAACTTTTACCTTGAACTCTACGTGAAAGTCACTTTTGTTGTTGTGCATATGTAGCTATGTTTGTGTTTATGTCAAGGTCTTAATCCAAAACACCTTAATCCTACTGAACACAAAACAAAGTGGTAGACTACCAGGGGGTTCGGGGTGGGGCCAGTGGCACTGACCTAAAGAGAAGTTTAGCGGTTTTTCCTTCACTAGAACGGCTCTTATTCTCAAGTCTAAAGAGTCATTTAGAGGTCCCTGAAAGCACTTTCGAAAGAAGTTGGCCACCCGGTCCTAGACGTAGAGTTGAACTCTAGAATTGTACTAATACAGAGCCCTTTATTTAAGGCATTCAAGCATATATTACAAGGATTTTCAGCAATATGGTTATTTTCACATTTAATAAATAGGAAAACAAACATCAGGAAGCATCTAAGAAAATGAACGTTAGTGAGGAAAAAGAAGTGTGACATCAAATGAGTCCTATGTTTTTTGGAGACCTGGTACGTTATTGAGGAAATGACTCTTCTTTCTGGGTCTTAGTCCTGCTGTCGCCTCCACCCTGGGAATATGCATTGTTCCTCGGACTTAGTCCTGCTGTCGCCTCCACCCTGGGAATATGCATTGTTTCTCGGACTTAGTCCTGCTGTCGCCTCCACCCTGGGAATATGCATTGTTCCTAATGCTGGCTGGAGATGAGGAATGTTTTCCTATGCAGTAGCTTCTTGGAGGCTTTGGTTTAGGCTCAGATTTGAGGCACAAAAACAGACGGTATTATGGGCCTGAGACTGATGGTCTGGAAAAGATATACACCAATGTAGAAAGTCCTGGGGATAGCTGTGAATATTTTAAGGACAGGTTGAGATTTTTGTATATGATTCAACAACTTGCAACCAGAATAAAATTCTTCTCTGAATGAGCTACAGACTTCTGTTTAGAAGCAGAAAGGATAGCCCTGTGTAGGAAGTCAATCCAAAATTTTACCAAGAATTTTGAAGAAGCTAGATTTTCAGATAGGGTGTGTTTTTCACCTGGTAGAGGCCTGGGAAAATTGAGAGGCTAACCCAAATATCATGATTCCTTAAGGATGTATACTTCCTTATTCAGAGAGGGACAATCTGGCAGAAAAGCTCAAAAGAGATCTGTAACTTTTTAAACTCCTCACTCAAAAATATATATAGTTGACCTTTGAATAACTCGGGTTTGAACTGTGTGGATTCTCATATATTCGGATTTTTTTTTCCAATAAATATACAGTTGGCCTTCAGAATCCCTGGGTTTTGTATCAGAGTATTCAACCAACCACAGATCAAAAACAGTATTTTCAGTCTGCAGTTGGGAATACATGATGTCAACTGTGTGCATTGTTCTATACCAGTGGTCGGCAAACCGCGGCTCGCGAGCCACATGCGGCTCTTTGGTCCCTTGAGTGTGGCTCTTCCACAAAATACCACGTGCGGGCGCGCACGTACAGTGCGATTGAAACTTCGTGGCCCATGCGCAGAAGTCGGTTTTCGGCCTGGGCGAGTCTATTTTGAAGAAGTGGCGTTAGAAGAAGTGGGGGGTGTGGGTCGGGCGATGGGAGACCGGCGCAGGTGGGCCGAGGGATACGCAGCGCAGGGTAGGCGCGCGTGATTCATGCACGAGTTGAGTGAGCCAATCAGTCAGCAGTCTCATTGTGCAGTGGTTAGTGCTAGTTGCATCCACAAATTGCGTGCAGGTGACAAAAGTAAAGCTTATTAAGTTAATTTTAGGGAACGTTGTGGAGTGAAAGAAGATGTAGTGTCGAGGACTGAGAAAGGTATGTTGAGATGGTTTGGACATATAGAGAGGATGAACAAAAGGAGATAGACGAAACAAGTATACAAGATGAGTGTGGATGGGAGAGTTGGACGGGGTCGACCTCAGCGAACGTACCTCAATCAGATTGAGGACGTTTTTAGCCAAGGCCAGCTTAGGAGTACCCTAATTAAGTTAATAACAATGTAACTACCTATATAGTTTAAGTTTAAAAAATTTGGCTCTCAAAAGAAATTTCAATTGTTGTACTGTTGATATTTGGCTCTGTTGACTAATGAGTTTGCCGACCACTGTTCTATACCATCTATACTAATATGCTAATTAGACTGGTCATCTTCCAGACATCCTTCCCCACGTCCTTCTGGACAAAGCCACAGTGGCAGGGGCTGCAGAGGTGGTTAGGGGTGATCAGG